GTCCCGGGGAGCCGGGTTTTTTAAGTCTTTTAACAACTGAACAGTATTTTTGAGCCGGGCTTTTAACGTTTGTGAAATGTTAAAATCCCCACATAGTCCCGGGGAGCAGGGGTTTCAAATGACTAGACTGCATTAGTAAACTGCTGGCTATATAGTGACCATAGTTAAATTTGAATTTTTATAAGAAAACCGATCCCAAACCCTTCTCCACCCCTAACCTTAACCTTTTGAGAGTTAGAAAACGAAAAAAGTTTAAAATATTTTAACAGAGCTGTCCGTACACAGCGCCTTTAGGGAGTGGTCATGTGATTATTTATGTGGAGGGAGGTTGGTAAATGGGGAAAATAAGGATTGAAAACTTCTTTGACCCTCCTCCAGACTGAAGGCAAACTTTTTGTGCCCCCCCCCCTCATGAAAGTAGAAACATTTCTGAACCCCCCCCCCCAAAGTGGATTGAAAAATTAACAGCAATGAAACAGGTGTGTGTTGCGGGTAAAGTTAGATATTAGGACAATTTGTTTAATTTAGCTCATGATGTTTTACCCTGGTGAATATGATTCAACCATATGTGATTAAAAATATATATTATGTGTAACTACTTTGTAGTGCAACATTTGTCTTACCATAACCCTAACCCATTGGCCGTCTTCATACAGCGAAATGATTTGAACACAGGGCTTTTTTACAAACTTTGTCTGAGGGGGGGGGGGGCATCTACAAAAAGGGACCATACTATACTGAGTGTGGAGAGATGACAGATGGTTGTTGGTGACAAAACGTTTGGTGTGCTATCGTATTTCTTACATGGTATGTTTAATATGTAAATACCACAACTGGGGTCACTCAGGGGGTGAGAAGCTTGTTAAACTTAGTGGGCCTGACTCCCACGTGGCGTTACCATGGTTGGCGTCGAGCAGGAAAATTTTGAGTCTCTAGATCGTTGGAAATGGCATTTTCAGAGTCTTTTATACCTCTTCGGCATTGTGATTTGTGAGCTGTCTATGCTGTTTATGATTATAGAAATCAGACCGGTAAAACTTCGTTTGAGGTTTATAGCTGCTCGGATTAGCTGTAGGAAACCAACCCCAAGTGTAGACAGCCAACTGTTAATGGCCTTGTGGCAAACAAGAAGACTGGCCCACTGAGTTACTAGGACTAGGAGATTGTACAGTGGCCAATGGGTCCCAAGATTCCTTATACTACATCTTTTGAATTAAACCAGAGCAAGTTTTCCTTCACAAATTTCTGTGACAAGTTTACACTCTTATGTGTACGGTCAACAAGTTTACCTTGACAAGCTTTGTTACAATGTTGTAAAACATTTCTCTCATGTTAATTAAGGCTGCCATTTGCTGTACATTTGTCAAGTTTTCCTTGGTGGCTGTACACACCAAACAAATACTGGACATGCCCAAAAGCTGGAAATTGACTAGCTTTGGAAGATTAGCTATAGGCTTCTTGGCAAGGAAAAATTGTCAATTTTTTGCCATACACATGAACAAACAAAACTTGTCAAAGAAAAATTGCCGGTCTGCACAGGGCTTTTCCTTTATCTTACCAGCAGTGGTTCCCTGTATAAATTTGTTTTTGTGATGGCCCTTCTGATAAGTCATGTCTAGTAAGTAGAAATTGTTTCTTTTAGAGAGTGCATGCCTGAGGAATTGTGCATAATGTGTAAAGTCTGGCAGTGTTTTTTGGGGGAGGTTTTTTGCGGCGGGGGGTGGGGGGGGGGTGGTCTCAGGTAGGGGAATGGGAATGTATGGCGATATAACCCCAACTGTAAGAGAGATACTTATTATAGTAAAATCAAGTAAAACTGAAGCAATTAAACCCATATAGTATCATGTGAACCTATGGCTGTTTGAAGTAAAGTTTGGTTCTCCCAATGGACCTTTCCCCTTATAACTAAAATTTTGATCTAGACAAGTCTAGACAGAAATTTCATCACAGCTTGAAAGAGCATCACAAAATTAGTAATATTCCAGAGTTTCGTTGCGAAATGTTGTAAAACGCGGATAATATAGCCTTGCGAAGTTTACCGTTTTTCAGTCATTTTGTATTACAAACGGGAAATTGACAGCCCAATCGGGTGTTGGGGCATCAATTTCCCGTTTGTAATACAAAATGACTGAAAATTGCAAAATTTCGCAAGGCTATATTATCCGCATTTTACAACATTTCGCAACGAAACTTTGGAATACTAATTTTGTGATGCTCTCTTCAAACTGTGATGAAATATTTTGTCTAGGATCAAAATTTTAGTTATAAGGGGAAAGGTCCATTGACCATTTGATGATCCCTTTCTTTTTAAACAGCCATGACATTCATTTGATTTTAGTGTCAAAATTTTCTTGAATATTTAATGCCTACTTACTAGTAATAACTGTAAACATACTGCACTGTATTGCATTTTGTTCAGGACACCCGCTATTAAACATAATTATCAACATCTCTGCAATTACAGTATCATTATCAACATAATTTCAACATCTTTGCAAGCGAACAAACCGTACCTTTTTGAGGGCACTTGTGACCAATGTTTGCTTTCAAAAATGACGATGATGGGCCAATCACTATCATTCCCAAAGTTCCACATTTAAGAGTACACTATGGGAGGGAGAACGGGGTTGAAAAGAAAAGCATTCGGTGTATGCTTTCCTATAATATTCCTTTGGACATCCTAGTATATTTTGCCGTTTTACTGGAAGAGGTAGATCCCCCCCCCCCCTCTCTTTTGGGATTACAGACATTTCCTCCGTAGAGGGAGTCTTTATCTTCTCTGGAATGACGCACAGTAACCACCCAACCTCGTACCCAGGGTCTTTCGTCTTTGGGGGGGGGGGACCCTGGTAGACGCTGGTCACGTGATCTGCTAAAATCTAGCAGATTTCTAATGAACTATCTTGGATTCCTTTACGACAATCATACAAAATGCAAATTATAAATTAAACTATAAAAATCATCCAAATATCAAATATTTATTGACCTCATCTTGGATTGCTAATTAAAAAATCTGCTAGATTTTAGCAGATCACGTGACCAGCGTCTACCAGGGTCTTTTCTCCCCTCGTCAAGAGGAAAGACCCTGGGTACAAGGTTGAGTAACCCCCATGATAATAGTAATTTTGAACCAATCCTTCAAAAATTAAAGATTTGATTCACGAAAATCGTGTATATATGTCAACAGTG